GCCAGTCTGTATGTGGGATCCAAACCCTCGGCGGGAGCGCCGCCACGCTCTCAAGCGGCGCACTGTAGCAGTGCGCCACCGGGCTGGCCCCTGAAACTAGATTTTTTTATGGATTGATTTATTTATGGATTGAAAATATAGGCTTTTAAAATTGTGTTACTGATTGTTTTCAGGAAATCAGCATAACTGCTAAGAACAAATATAGAATCAGGAAAATTCAATTCAGTAACATTTCAGTTACATGTGAACATTTTAAAAATTGAATGTGTGAGAAAAAGCCAAAAGAGGGTCTCCAGAGCATGTTATAGCTAGTAATGTGAGTTTCTGTTAATAGAAAAAAGAAGAGAAACTTTAGGGAGGGGCATTAGCAACTGAAAATAGTGAAATGTGAAGAATGTACATTGGGTTATGATTTCTAAGATTAGTATAATATCAACATTTTGGCTGCCAAATAAATTTGTCAGATGCCCCTGGTTCATGGCAGTGAGACCTCAAACCAGCAGTAAAGTTGAATTCATTATTAAAAGAGTGTATGTCTTACGTTCACTTGAAAGCATAATTTGGCTTATTAAATAAAATGGAATTAGAAGTTAATGTTTTTTTTTCTTCTGCCAAAAATTGCTGCTTTCTCAGGGCCCTATGGCCACTTGTGAAGAGGCTTTATCAGGTTCTCTCGCTGCTACTGGTCATCTTTTAAAGTTCGCCTTCCTTTTGGTCTTTCCTCCCTCCTGTTTCCTCATTCTGTGGTGCAGTGGGTTATGAGTACCTCCTTTTCCATGCAGTTCGTACGTGTCCTCCCCCCTGGCCAGCAGTAGCACATTCTAGTTCTAGTGGGTCTTGAAGGACTTCACATGGATGGTTTTGCTGACTGTTCTTCCTCTGGGCAGAAATGACAAGTGATATCCTAAATGATCTCAAATCACAAATGATCCTAAGTGAATGAGTTCCTGCCCTACAAATACATTTTCCCTTGAAAATCAAGCTACAGCTTCCCTCCTTAACCCGTTCTGAAATCCACCAGCCTTCACTTGACTCAAGGTGACAGAGCACCTCCAGAAGTCCTTTTTTGTATCTTTAAATATCACATTCCTTTCTTCTTATTCCATCTTAACTGAAGAGAAAAACATTTTATATGGAAAAGTCTGGATTTATTTTGAAAATATCTTCCGTATTGTCCACTGCGCCACATTGATAAGAGAAAGAGCATTAGCATGTGTTTACCACTGCAATCTTGTAATAACAAAATGGGTTTGCACTCCATTGGGATGAGTCCTAGACTGTTGATGAATTATATCACTCTGAGGATGTCTTCAGTTCCATTTAATAGGAATATTTTAAATTTTACAGCGATGAACAGCAGCGAGATTACTTAATGGAAAGACGGGACCTCGCCATTGATTTTATTTTTTCTTTAGTATTAATAGAAGTTTTGAAACAGGTAGGTAATTAATTTATTGTTACTTTTAAATAGCACTTATTAATCTAAAAACTAATCAAGATTTGAAAGTCTAAATTTATTAAATTGTTTATGAATTCCAAATACTGGGTCACATATGAATTATGTTTATTGATTGCTAAAAGTCATATGTAGTTATTGAAAGTACTGTTACTGATTTGCTCTTTAATATTCTCTTCCAAGTTAAGAATCATCTTTTCATTTTTTTCTTTTTTTCAGATTCCACTTCATCCTGTAATAGACAGTTTAATACATGATGTTATTAACCTGGCTTTCAAGCACTTTAAGTACAAAGAAGGGTAAGGTGATTTCTCACCTTAGACTATTGAAGAAGTTGGGTGTTTAACACTAAATCAATGGTTTGCTCTTTTCAGACAACCAGGGGTCCCTAATTTGTCTAATTATACCTTCTCTTAGGTACCTTGGTCCTAACACTGGCAATATGCACATCGTGGCAGACCTGTATGCAGAAGTCATTGGAGTATTGGCACAAGCTAAGTAAGTGAACATCAGAGCCCTTTACTGTGAGAACATGAGTGCCTCTTTCTTTCCTCCCCAGCCCTCACTTAAGGGGGGGATATTTGTGAGCTAAAAGAACTAGGGCTCTTCTAGCCATGTGTGCCCCATCTCTGAAACTGACTAGAAACTCCTCCAAGGCAGATACTAAGTTATCTTGTTCACGATCAGTTGGGCCAGATTCATGATCAGTTGGGCCAGATTCTACCCAGAGTCTATGGGTTTCTGACAATTGCATAAAAGAAAGAAATGGACTAACCAAATTACTTTTCTCTCTGCTCAAATATTCCAAAGAAGGTTATCAGTTTTTAAAGTTCTGTTTCTATAGTCTATGAGTGGGTGGATACAATATATCATCAGTGAGTGGGAAAATTCCATTCTAGAATGCCCCTTTTACTATAGTCCTTAGTTCAGCTGAGCTAAAAATGTCCCAGATTCAGTCATGGAAACAAGTTGGAGGGAAAATTCTCATTGCTAAATTTATCTGGCCCCATAGCACTACTTAGCAGGCTAGAACAAAGTAGCGTTAGACTATTAGCTAGAATATACTTCTTCCAAAAGTGACGTCACACCCTACTTACCATCTTCATTTCATCCAACCCTGAGGCAAATTGGGCAAGATCCTAAACACCTAGGTTAGGCAAAATGAGCCAGAGACATAATGTGTTTTCAAGCCAAGAGGCCAGCTTAAAGCAACAGTGATGCCCCAGTCCTTGTGAAATGCAATCCTCAGAGAATTTTATCTTCTGGAAATGGAATTTCCTAACTTAATAGCATGGAAATACACAATTTATCCAAAATGTGTTTTCAAGCCAAGAGGCCAGCTTAAAGCAACAGTGATGCCCCAGTCCTTGTGAAATGCCATCCTCAGAGAATTTTATCTTCTGGAAATGGAATTTCCTAACTTAATAGCATGGAAATACACAATTTATCCAAAAAAATGTTTTTTAAAGCACTTACTCAGCAGCCTTGCATAGCCAAAACATAGACAAGAACTCAGGAAATAGATCCAAAAAACACCTTGGCATGATTTATTTAATCCAATCCAGCTTATTCATTTTGACTACCTTTTTCTTTCTAACAAATAAACATATCCATGTTAGAAGGAGGAAAGGGAATCTACCAAGCTCAATGGCTGACAGCAACAGAGAGGGAAGAAACTGGCCAAAGCGCACATAAAAACTACTCAATAGAGTTGTCTGGGCCATTTTGGATGAGGCTATATTATAGCCTATTATAATAATTGCAGTTCATGAGTCATTAAGAAAAAAAAGGTATAATGCCTTTTGGAGACATTTCCATTGCAACGGAGTAATAACACATTGACATTTTGAATGGAGACACTGCAATTATCTAGCAAATTAATTCATGTATATCTACCTCACTCCTAGAAAAGATTAGAAAAATGAGGAGTTAATAAGCATATTTGTTAATTTGTCAAACTCTGAAAATTTCAACATTTTCCATTGTAATTTCTTTGTCATTATCCTAGCATAGTTCTCTTATGTGATCATTTGGAAAGTTTAGTACACTAAAAATGGCTTTTTGTGTTTTTTTAGTTTTTATGCATTATGCATAACAATATTGGTTACAGGCTAATGACCTTCCTTAGCTTACATAGATTCTGAGTTGCTTGTGAAGAAGTTGAGAAATATCATAACTAAACAATATTCTAAGGCTAGGTCAGATTTATGGTCCACGAAGCCAGTGTTTTCTAGCCAACAGTGTCTTTTTGAATTTTCCTGACATCAATATTTGTCCCAATTCTACAATAGCGGAATGTAAGAAATGCCTCAGTTTGGACAATGCTCCAATACTTTCCACTCGCAAACCCCTTGACCAGTCTGCTTTTGCAGGAATCATAGACTCATATAGTCTGTGATATGTTCTCAACCCATCAATGTGTAGTTAACTTTTATTGATAAATGGTGTAATCTTAAACTAGTGTCATACCATGAATTATCACATTACTTCTGTCTTATGAGTACACCAGGAGCATTACTGTGTTGACTTAGAAAGTACTGTTATCTAGTACGGTGTGGTTATCTGGTTATCTTTTTTAAAAAATAAATTTGAGTAATGTAGTAATTCTAATTTTAGATTGTATATCTAGTTCTCAGTGGTAAAATATATGAGATATTTCCTTCATTATAACTTCATTTATTAATACTTAGTTTGGAATTTGAGTTTTAGCAGAATCACTATCTTCAATCTAACTAGTGATAATGCTGCTTACTTCCTATTGTTAAGAGAAAATTTTTTTGCAGTTAAGTGATTTTCACACATAGTATTGAGGGATTTTTTTAAGTCTATTAAGTTAAAATTAGATTTTTTAAGTACTTTGGTCAAAATCTGGTAGATTCATTTAAATAGTGATGATTGCTTCCAAGAGTCTTAAATTTAAAACTTTTCTCTTTATATAATATAGTCTTAATCTATGTATTCTTGAACTCTCACTTTTATAATATGTACTGTACATTTGTTAAAGGAAAAACTCAAGACAAATTAAATTAAACAGAGTTTAATTGAGCAAAGAACAATCTGCGGAATCAGGCAGCCACCAGAACCAGAATAGGTTCAGAGCAACTCCAGCGCTGCTGCCTGGTCAGCTAAGATTTATAGACAGAAAAGGGAAAGTGACGTACAGAAAACGGAAGTGAGGTGCAGAAACAGCTAGATTGGCTATAGCTGGATGTCTCTCTTACTTGAACATGGTTTGACTAGTTAGCTGCCCGTAATTGGCTGAGACTTGGCTGCTTGTTACAAGAGTAGGTTACCATCTGTTTACACATCAAGTTAGGTTACAGTTCACTATATCTAAAGAAATCTTTAGGCCAAACTTAAGTTCATGCATTTTAAAGCAGAGGTTTATTTTTATGTGACTTTTATAGTATAACAAAGACTGGGTAATCATTTAATTACTTTATTTACTAAATACAGTACTTAAAAGTAGATACTAAAGAAAAGGTTAGCGAAAAATGTATTTTTCCCTAAAAATCATTTTAAGGGAAGATAGGTTTTAAGTGCAAATAGATTTTTGGATCACTGTTTATGCTAAAATAACATGTCTTTGTCATTTAGGACTTTTAAAAGTAAAAGATAGCCATATTTATTCATTTATTTATTTATTTAAATGAATAATAGACTTTCTGCAAGCAGCTCATGAGAATATTGAAATAGTGAGTTGTACAAATAACCTGTCTTTTCCTACTACTTCTTGTTTTAGTTATGGACTCAAAATGGAAAACAAACTTTCCTGAGTATTATGTCCTCTTTAAAACTATATGATTCTAACCTATAATGTTACTTGTTCCCTTTAAACTCTCATGTTTCAAAATTAAAACCATGGATAGCTTTTTAGTGTTTGGAAATAATTTGAATGCAATACAATTTTTAAAAATCCGGTTGGAATTACTCCATCAGACTTGACTGAGAGTGTCACTCCCATTGCTGTGCCATTGCCATTTCACCATCCTATCCTTTCTGACCTCTGCCTGAAGGTGTCTGCTCACCCTTCACCCCGACTCAAATCCCTGCTGACGTCTTCTCTAATTACCCAGCTGAAAAGAGCCCCTTCATTCTCTGATGCCCTGAAGCCTCTTTAAATGTGTTGTTCACCAAAAAGGCAGTGTGAAGTTTAAGAAACTGAAATAACTTGGAGCATTCTACCACCCTTAAGGATCAGAAAGGTCCAAGCAAAGTGTTGGGCTTGCCCTAGCACATGGTAGGTGCCTGGTGAATTATCATTATTATTATTATTATTGTTATTCATATGGCTCATGGTCAGTGCTACATTGCTTTATCTTCCTAATTAAACCAGCAACTGTTATAGTCAGAGAAGGGACTACATTTCATAGTTAGACTGTCTAAGGCAGTTGAGAGATAGTGGAAATTCCTGAAATTTACATCAGAAGGCCTAAGTTTGAATCTCTTCTTTGTTGCTCTGATCTTCAAAATGTTTCTTCGTTTCTTTTTTTTTTTTTTGTCCTTTTTGAGACCAGCCGCACTGCACTCAGCCAGTGAGCGCTGCGAGCGCACCGGTCATCCCTATATAGGATCCGAACCCGCAGCGGGAGAACCGCTGTGCTCCCAGCGCCACACTCTCCCGAGTGCGCCACGGGCTCGGCCCTTTTTTTTTTTATGTTTCTTCATTTCTAAAATGAAAATACATTCACGCCTGGCTCACTGGATGGCTGTGAGGATAAAAATGTAAAATGGTATAATGTGCATAAAATGTAAAACATCTTACAAATGCTATTATAATACCTAGCCTAGACCAGTGCTTCTCCAACTTTATGACATCAGAATAAAATGTAGGGCTCAATTAGACACAAATCACTGGACATATCTCCAGAGTTTCTGATTCAGTAGGCATGTTAGTCTGCTCCGGGTGCCAACACACAGTACCACAGAGTGGTAGGCTTAAACAACAAACATTTATTTCCTCAGAGTTCTGGAGACTGGAAGTTCAAGATCAAGGTGTCAGCAGGGTTGATTGCTTCTGAGGCCTCTCTCTTTGGCTTGTAGTGGCGTCTTCTCCCCGTGTCTTCATATGCTCTTCCGTGTGTGGTGTGTGTCTGTGTCCTAATCTCTTCTTTTAAGTACAGGAGTCATGTTGGATTAGGCCCTCCCTAATGACTTCAATGTAACTTAATCACCGCTTTAGAGACCCTGTCTCCAAATACAGTCCATTCTGACAAGGGTTAAGACATATGAATGCGGGGGGCGGCCACTATTCAGCCAATAACAGTAGGTCTGGGGAAGAGCCAGAGAATGTACACATCTAACAAGTTCCCAGTGATGCTGATGCTGCTGGTCTGGGGACCACACTTTGAGAACCAGTGGTTTAGAGCCGAAGCACAGCATAGAGATTGAGAGCAAGAACCCTAGAGCCAGACGCTGGCTTCAAATTCCAAAAAAAAAAAAAAAGCTGTAGTAAAGACTTTTATGGGCCGGCCCGGTGGCGCACTGCTACAGTGTGCCACTTGGGAGTGCGGTGGCGCTCCCGCCGAGGGTTCGGATCCCACATATAGACCGGTTCCCGCTCA